ACTCAATACCGAGTAACTATAGCTTCATGGATACTAGGGGAAGCCCCAGAGTACCTATATATTATAGGAACTACCCTCGAATTACTATAATCCATAGTCCCAATTCACAGCATAAGGAGGGTGTCTGATCTGCCCCCTGGTAAATATTAGCTTCGTCCCCGGTCCGACGTTGCACTCCCCAGGTTCTCATGCTGAAACTTGACTCCTAGGTACATTGGCTGCCATACAAAATGAATGCTATACCTAGGTACCTCTACTATGTTACGCCACCCTGCATCTGATTAAGGATGAAGCTTTCCGGTTGAATATCTACTGCTTAGCATACTGCTTTGCTCTGCAGGCTGCAGCCTCAGCGATTGCGACCGGCTGCAATTTGTACATGTTTGTTCTTACATTCCAGCACAGGACAATGTCATCACCTCGGTCCAACACAGGTACCTTAACCGAGGCTCGTATTCACCATAAATGACCTCCAACTCAATACAAGACAGCAAACTAATCATTCAACCCATACGGAGTATAAAATGACACAATCAATCCTCACCACCATTCAAGACGGCATCACAACCATCACCATCAACCGCCCTCACCGCCGCAATGCCGTCGACCCCCCAACCGCCAAAGCCCTCTACAACGCCCTCCTAGCCTTCGACGCCGACCCCGCCCAGAAAATCTGCATCCTCACCGGCGCCGGCGGGACCTTTTGCGCCGGCGCTGATCTCCACGCCGTCGCCGCAGCCGGGACCGGATCCTCACCATCCACACTGACAGCGCAGGAGAACCTCCAGCCTGTCCCTGTCTCGTCCGGCAAAGATGAGCATGTCCCATCCCTAGGACCAATGGGTCCTACCCGGCTGCACATTTCCAAACCCCTCATTGCAGCGATAGCCGGCCACGCCGTCGCAGGCGGGCTGGAGCTCGCGCTGCTGGCTGACCTGCGCATCGTCGAGGAGGACGCCGTCCTGGGTGTCTTCTGTCGGCGATGGGGCGTCCCGCTTATCGACGGCGGGACGGTACGGCTGCAGGCGATTGTGGGGTTGGGACGGGCTTTGGATCTGATTCTCACTGGGCGGGGGGTCGGGGGGCGCGAGGCGCTGGGCATGGGGTTGGTGAGTCGGGTAGTTGCGAGGGGGAAGGGGGTGGAGGAGGCGATGGTGTTGGCGAGGGAGTTGATGCGGTTTCCGGAGAGGTGTATGAATGTTGATCGGGGGAGTTGCTATTATAGTGCGTACGCCGCGGGATCGATGGAGGATGCGCTGCGGAGGGAGTTTGAGATGGGGTCGAGTGTGTTGGCGACAGAGAGTGTGCGGGGGGCGGCGAGGTTTAGGGATGGGGAGGGGAGGCATGGGCGGTTTGAGAAGTTGTAGGGGCTCTTGTCTTCTAGTTATATTGTTGTATCGATGCCATCCTGCAGTGCAACGGACTCGCTCAAATTCGACTGCCTTGACTACTAGCAACGTACACGGCCGACAGTCTGACCATTGGTTTCAGTACATGAACCAGACTGTCGGCAATGAAGCTATTAGCGTCCATGATGGCTCATTCTCCTCTATCATAGTCATAATGATACTAGCGTAGTGTGAAGATCTCCACCGAAGAAGCTTCGCCATGGAGGCGGTGTTAGCGTTGGGCCCGGCGGTGGAGCGATGACTCAAATCCAACATCAATCGTTGCTGGTATCATATGGCGTCAGTGACGCTCGAATTAGCAGATATCTTAAGCAATATTTATTGCTTTTAAGCACAGAGTACGCAGATAGTAAGCTCTTCAGGATGAAGTTGATCTAAAAAGAATGCAGATCTATACTTGCTTCTGGCCAATCATACAACAGTTGAAAATTTCTCAATATCATTGGCCAGTTTACAGTATCCACAAGCCAAATACTAAAAATAGGCTTATATCAGCCACCCACTAGCCGGAATGGGACAAGTGTTTACTGCGGCGCAAGGATTTGCAATTGGACGCGTAGGCACCAGGCAGTCAGGCATGACTATGATCACGAGGAAGAAATAAAAGCTTCAATTGCTACCTTGACACTTACACCTTCAGTCGATTCAGTCGATTTCAGATCAACATCAAACATAGACAAATCAAAATGGCACCGTATGCAGCCCTCGCCAAAAGCGTACTCGAGGAACAGGTCTCACAGCCTCATCTCCTCAAGCGAGATCTCTCAGTCAACCACACTCAAGCAGTAACCTTGGGTGTCATGGGAGCGTACGTGGTTGTCATCGCACTGCTTTGGAACTTACCCTACGTCCGCTGGTCGTTATGGCCTTTCAAGGTACAAACCCCCTACCTCCATTTACCATCTGCTTAACTAATGAAAACAGATGCTGGTCATCGCCTTCCATGAATTCGGCCATGCCATCACCGCATGCTGCACAGGAGGCAGAGTAAAGTCCATCTCATTAGACCCGCATGAAGGGGGCGTCACGCACATGCAGGGCGGTATCAGCGCCATCACCCTGCCCGCAGGATACCTAGGCTCATCCATCATCGGCGCTTTGCTGATCTTCGCTGGGTTTGACATTGTCGCAAGCAAGGTGGCGAGTATTATCCTGGGGGTGTGCTTCTTGCTTACCCTGTGGTGGGCGCGGAGGGACTGGTTGACTATCGTGACGATTCTGATGGCCGTCGGGTTACTGGTTGCGTGTTGGTTTATCGTTCATGGGGAGGCGTTGCGGTGGGTTGTGGTATGTTTTTTCCTCCTGACCTTATTCTGTTGGCATGGTGCTAACCTCCGTAGCTGTTTATCGGAGTCATGTCAGCGCTTTACAGCGTCTGGGATATTGTACGTCCTCCGTCTGTTGTTTCAAAAGCTCATGCTAATGTGGACAGTGTGACGATCTCATTCTCCGCAAAGTCAATACTTCCGATGCGAGTGTCTTCGCGCAGAGATATGGTGGCTCTTCTCGCTGCTGGGGCGTCATTTGGTCCATTATTTCCCTGGGGTTCATGGCTGTTGGCATTGTGGCTGCCATTGCGGCGTTTCCCCAGTCGTTCAGCGAGCAGCAGGAGCAATCCAAGCATTTCATTCCGACACGGTGAACTGTGAGCTTAATGGCTATGAGTGATGATAATGACGACTTTTTGATTCTTGTCTGTTTGTGGATGGTGTTTGTTTTGCATGTATAGAATTCATCTTTGTTTACTTGAGACCGCAGCCTCAGGCAACGTGTCTTGCCGAATGCGGATTGCAACTTCCATTAAGATTTCAGTTTTTCAGCGCAACCACCCAGTCTTCGTCTGATAGAACATTTTACATGATATACTATTACAACCAATTCTCTCGAATACAGATCCACTACCTCCCCACTGGAACGTGTCTCAACCGAAGCTTCACCCACTGTGTCCCCTCCGGCAACACATACTCATCTCGATCAAAGTACAACATCCACACCCCTCTCACTCCACCTTCAGATTCCGCAATCCCCAACTCCAACGCCTCTTTCTCTCTGGCTTGCTGTTCGGGCGACTTTACAGCCAGCCATCGTTGCCGTTGTTCCAGCGTAACATATCCACTCTCGACATCAAGTAGATCAAACGGTCCACAGATATGGCCCTGTGTATCTCCCTTCCCTCCATACCGCATCTCATTCGTCTCCACATCTAGAAACACCCAACGAGCGAGAGGCGGCGTCTCCCCGCTTAATGTGATCAGTCCGGATGTATTATCGGGAGGAAAATCGGGGTGTGTATAGAAGTGGCCGTCGAAGGGGGTCATTGTTGTAGGTGGTTGTTTGGTTACGTATAACTATTTACGTTCAACAGTAGTGCAAGGTGAGTATGGGTCTGAGTAGCTTACCTTTCCATCTTCCTCGAGATATACCCGTGCATTGTGTAGTTGGTCGCGCTGTTCCGGCGTTTCTTCGTTCGTGTAACACTCTGCGAGGAGATGGCCTCGTTGTCTCTTGGCGTGCTGGCGAGCAGATTCAGGGCTATTGGAGCTCTGGTCCATGTTTAACATTGCTGGGGCTATTGCGCCCATTAAGGCGAGGCCGAGGACCATGATGTGGATTTGTGGTGGATGTAGTGAAATGGTGTCGCGGATTGACTTGGGCAGATGTATGGAACATGCAGCTCCCGCCAGTTAATGGAGCTAAATAATAAAGTTAGCTTTCAGTGTCGGTGTTCAATTGACAGACAATGCCGTTGTCCATGGTGGTTGTGGTTCTTTAGGTACACTTGGTCCCTGATCGACGGAAACGGAAATGGAGGTATCCCCATTCCCCACAACACAAGATGCAACATAACCCACAGATGACATAGAGAGATAATCCTGTTGTTGCTTCAATATTTCAACTTATCTTGCTCATTGCTGTTCGTTATTTCTGCAGCTGTACACTTCCATATCTCAATATCAACCACAAAATGAGCGATCGAAAATGGCAGGATGCTCCGAGGTATGTATCAAGTCAGGTTAATATAGGTGCTATAGCTGACAAGACCAAGTACCCCAGCAGAAATCCAAGACGAGCCAATGCAAGAAACCACAGAAAAAACCACGGTGGTCAAACCAACTGGTAGCGAGCCGACCGCTGAACCAACGACGAAACGGGACGATGGCAAGAGGGAGAGTGTCAACATCAAGATCCATCTGAATGTCCATGCCAAGGTGAAATTAGACTTGGACGCTCAGATAGACGGTGATATCATCATTGGGTTATATTGAACTTTGGGGTTCGATGTTGATTTGTTATGCACTTTGTATGGGTATGATGTATAGAGGTGCTTCGATGTTTGATACTGGAACCTGGGGGTAGAAGAGGCGAGTTGCCTAGCCTTGAGAGATATACAATCATGAATAATGCACCCAGTGCTTTCTATCACGCGTCCAACGCTAAAGCTGGAGACTGTATACGCGTCTCGCTTAGGACCACGCTATTTTCTATCCCATTCACTAATGCTTTGTATGATGTGAGTAGTATAAAGCTCATATCACTCTTCAGCTTTCTTCATGCCTCCTCACCAGCTCAATCCACATTGTCAGTCTCAAAATGGAGGGTGAGTGCCAGTGCGAAGGTGCCAATAAGGACTTCCCTGCTGGAAGCGTCATGAGAAAGTTCGAAAAAGCCACTTTCCCAATCGCAGGGCGTCTTTATCGCATGAAGAAAATCCTCTGGGAGCGTTACAACAGTGATTACCACCAGCGCAGGGCCATGTTCGAAGCCGAGGAATGCGAGACCAAGGACCCTGTCGTCGTCAAGTTCTTCCTGGAGTATGTCTTCTGCCCTCTGCCTTATGCAAGTCTGGTCACTAATTTCCTCAACATAGGGCAGATCCATTCATGAGAGAAGAAGAGAGAGGCAAGCAAACTATGAAAAACAATGCCGCTGAGCTTTTCCACAAAGAATGCGAGATCTGGAGAACCTTGTCAGACACGGGCTATACTCCCAAGTACTACGGCAAGAGGGAGATGCATCAGGACCTGGCTTTTGAGAACCCCGGCGGATACCTGTGGATACTGGTTCTGGAACACTTCCCGACCTTCAGTCTGGCTGACACGCCTCAATTCCTGAATGCTGCTGAGCTTCCGCGCATTGAGAAACAGTTGCTTGATATGGCTGTGTAAGTGCGGTTGATCTCCGGTTGCTTGAAACACTCTGACATGTTCGTCTGGCAGTAAATTCAACAAGCACGGTCTTGATTATGTTGGCGTGTCGTTTCTCAAGTTTGATCCGGAGAGGAGGACAGTGTATGCTATTCCTCTGACACGACTTACGCGGCACATAGCTGACAACTTAGGTACATCACGGACATTGAATACTTCAAGGAGACAGAGGTTCGCGATGACCCCGTAGCGGCAAAGAGTAATGCAGCGCATTGGGTCAGTGTTGTGATGGGTGCTCTCAGAGCTGGTGTCGAAGAGATCAGGGGTCTTTCGCCGATGGACGAATATATCGACCTTGAGGATTTTGGGCACTTTGGGAGTGACAGTGAATGAAACTTGGAGCTTGAAGATTGGATCTTTGGAGGATATCATTAGGTTGGTGGCATATAAATGTTGGATCAGAAGGTGGATGTGATCTTGCGCAGTTTCGAGGGTTTAAATGTAAAATAGTAGATTATCGATCCGGAACTGGCAGCATTTTTCAACATCCTCTCCTGCTTCTTCTGCCCGTTCAAAGCGTTGTTATCTTCTCCCTTCCCTTCTCCATCAACCGTATATCACAGAGGAACGATCTCATTGCGATTGCTTGAGGATTTCGAGGACAGTATGTCTACCAATCAAAAAGAATGTTTGCTCCCTTCTCAACGTTCGTAACCACATTTCCCTCTCACAAGTGTCTTGCAAACTTTATCTTATGGCCGTAATACTCAGCTGGTTCACTCGCTTGCAGTTCGCCGAACGCTGCAGGTCGTCAGAGGATAGACTGCCATAAAGGCCAGGGCTCATTGATTTTCCTCGTCCTAGAGATGCTACATCATGTGTCATCCATACCACGCTCACTTTGAAAGTTCTCTTTTCCTTGACGTTTCAAAGGATGAGTCTTCCTTGCAGCTCCCCTAACATTATTGACCAACTGTTGACTGGAATTGATACCAGAACTCAACTTCGACTACCTGGCTCAAACTCCGGAGGCGAATAGTCTCAAACTCAGACCAATACCACAGCGGATATGCTGGCTCGTCGGCAAAAGACTATTTCAGCCTTATTCTAGTTGATCCACCGAGTTGACTATTTGAGTATGATCTGACAGCGGGTTGGTGGGACTACACGATCAACAAGATTAGCCAAGACATAAACCTGATTCGGACCAGACCCACGGCGATGCGCAATTGTTTCATTATTTTCTCATTCGGTTGTGTTGGAAGTTTGGAACCTAGCCCTCGGCTGGTTTGAAGTACAGATGGTTTGATCTCCATCAATCATCAAACTGCAACATTCCTTGCGACAAACGACGAGAGAAACTCAGCAAGATCTTTCAATGGAGTGAATGAACATGAGCCACCCTGTTCTAGACCTCGTTCGCCATGCTTTACAGAAAAACAGACATTCCCGTTCGTCAGGAGGAAGATCCACTAGGTATGTTCAGTCACAGAGCAGCTAGAGTGCATACAGCTGATAAAGGCTTTTTAGCAACTCCTCCAAGCAGAGGAACTCAATCTGGGAGGAGATACCAGTCAATGTCCTTACTCAGATACTGGTACACTGCACACTGACAGATATCTATTCTTTGATGCTGTCCTGTCGGGCGCTGTACAGGCGAATCCACCAAGAAGAGTATGCGATATCTCGCGAGTATCTTCATCATCGAAAGCGCCGATATCTGCAAAGCAGCAACTGCTCTCCAGGAGATGACCTGACATTCGTTTCTGAGCTTTTCCCACCCCAACCACCGCAGTACACTGCTAGCAGGTCGCACGACGAATTCCCCCAATATTCCTTCGGCTACCTCGCCGACCTAACCCGCTGCTGGATGACTTGCCTCAGGCTATCGTACTATCTAGCCGATTACGCGGTTCAGCATCATCTGCAGCATGATCCTGAAGCTCGGCCTCTTTGGTCATCCTGCAAGACCGAAAAGGAAGTAGTCTACAGCAGAGCTGTGGGTGTGCTTCAATCTCGCTTATTGTGTCCCTTGTACGTCTGCCTATTTGGCCCATTGCCAGCCTTTACACAGATTTAACATGCGCAGGACAAACCTCGCATACTTCCTCGAAACCTACGCAGCAGCCCGTGACGCAGTAAGGGAAACCGGAAAGCACCATCATCTGCACCATTCGCTCGAAGAGCAACAGTCCATCCTCCAACGGCCCCCGTTCACGACGACCGAGGTCCTCCTCTCGACCCACCACTGCATGCATCTCCTCTGCTCATCTGTGCGCCATATGATGATCCCCGAGTTTCCTCCCTCTTCAACCGGAAGCTGGGTCGGTATTCTCCTCACGACATCCACGCTCGAAAGGATCCTAGATTTTTTCGTCGCGGCTGCGAACGACCAATCCGCAGAAGCCCAGCACGCGCACGCCAGGAACGTACAAAGCCATCCTCAAACGCGCGCTCAGCACGCACATACCAGGAATTTATCATCTACCTGGACGAAACGGAGGGAGTTCCTGTTGCGAATGCGAAAGGACTGGGAGGAGTACCTGGTGTCCGTGGGTGGTGACCAGACGGCCGCTGCCGATCACGAGCAGGCGCTGGTCGCTCCCCCTGATCTAAGGCAGGTATGGTTTGAGGCGGGTGAGAAGGAGATGTATCGACGAGGTGTGATTACGCATCGCAGTGAGGATCCAGTGCACATTCTCCATGGGTCGTATATCAGATTACATTGTGCATTCTGTGATGACCAGTATTGAGATCCAAACTTGAGCAGTGCAACAACAGTCCTTCTATTGACGGAAGGCAGCCGTGGATTATGCAGCAATGGAGAACTATACGTACATGTCGATGCTCATATCGACAGAGTATTTTCAAACTAGCAACATAATATTGACATCGGCTCATAATAAGCGATCATAGAAAAGTCTAGCCAGGTCCCTTTAACAGAAATGACTTCATGTTCAAGTGAAGAAAGATATGAAACATGCGTCCGAGCGCGGGTACGATGTGTCAAGCAAAGAGGCCAGGGCCCATAATAATACATTAGAAAAGAATAAGGGGTATATCTATCCGGCTATCAAAACCCAGAGAAGGAAGAAAATCTGTGATTGTCTCGTTAGCTTCTGCAATGGCATCAAGAAGAGAGAAACGCACCATAAGGACACCAAACATCTTGGCGATCAACCATCGGTTACCGGATACGCGGTTCCAGTACTTCATCAACTCGCGCTGGGCGCCTTCAACATTGTCCACCACGTCTTCGGTGTTGGCGTCAATCCGTTGGATCATCTCTGACTGCTCACTGACCATCTGAGCCAGTTGGCCGAAGATCCCGCCGAGTTCACTGATGGTGCGTTCGATGGCATCAATGGCTTCGCCTCTGGCCTGAATATACGTGTTGTTCGTCTGCGCCTCCTCCATGACCAATAATTGCTGATCTGTTTGGAACGATGGGCGCCCAAGAGGCGAGGGATTTGAGGGATCTAGCGTCAATAGATCTGAAGAGCCTCCCTGGAAACCTGGTTGTGGCGTCCTTCGTCCCGAGGGGTTGTACAGCGGAGAGTCCGACCGTTGCGGATCCAAGACTTGCGACTTGGACGATACCGAAGAGACAAAGTTCTCTGTCCGAGATCGCGACGCTTGAATATTCTTCGTTCGGACCTCGAGGACTTCTTTGAAGTTCGCACCGACATCCGCCAGCTTTCCTTGGAGCATAACCACGACCTAGGTTGCATTAGCGTTGCGCAAGCCGGCCACTCGGAGTCCACTTACATTGTCATTGTGCTCGCCTTCCTGATCCGCTTTTGATCGATTCGTCTTTGGATGTTGCGATAATGTAAGCGCTTGCAGCGAAGCAATTTGCTGGTTCAGCGACGCCAGGTCCTGTTTGATGACGTAGGTCAACTCGGAAATCTCGACAGGTCTGTCATCGAAGAGCGTCTTGCGCTTCGCCACTACGTCGAGATCAGCAGATAAAAGAAACCCATCGGCAGCCAACTACTCACACTCAGCCAACCGTTGTAGCTTCGCGGTTGTCGCTGTGATACCTCGTCCAATCTCCGCGGCTCTCCTAGCAAACTCCGACCGGCGTTTGCTTTGTCCTTGTCCATCTGTGCCTGCGTGCGCCTGTCTCCGTTGCGAATCCGAGAGCAGTGCTTGACGTTGTGAGCCAACTTTGGAAGTCGCGAGGCGTTTCTGGGCCTGTCCGAGGATGGCCTGGAATTCGCCCGTGCGATCCTGAATTGAGGGGCCGACCATTTTCAAGATCGCAGATTCGTAGTGGCCGCTATAGTATATGTATCGAGGCGGCTTGAGGTTGAGAAATAGGCTAGGATGCACTCCGTAGAGGTCGAGCTAATCGATAAGGAGAAGGCAACGGTTGAGGCGTATCCGGCGTTAGTCAAATAGGGGCAGTAAACAGGTAAACATCGAGTGAGTCGGGATTAGTAGTGGATTAGGAAAGTCTAGGGAGTTTCATGTCGTCAAAGTCCCGAAGTCCAGAAGTCCAGGAGTCCATGAACAGGAGGAGTATTGAAGTGGCCCAGAAAGACGCCGTTCTCTGTCACTATCTCCATGGGGGCGGATTCGTGTCATTCCGGAAGGGGAAAAGTGTGGCAGTTCTCCACGTGACAGGGGTGCCACTTGCACAGCCACTATAGCCACACTTTTGTTCCCCAGGCCGCATCAGGCCGCAGTTTATTTTAAGTACCAGGGGTACCTCTCTATCATGACCGGCAGAGGGGAAAAACAGCAATCATCGAGTGTGGCTGAGGGAGAGATCCAAGTTCTCAGGAAGCTGATCGGCGAAATTGTCTTTCACAACTCGCTGTTTTGATATAGCCCTGCACCCAACATTGATTGACACGTCGCCGAGGCTGAGCATCAGGTGCTGTCGCAATCCGATCGTACCCACGTCATCTTGTGAAACATACCGCATTTCCTCTCTAGGTAGACACCGTCGAACTCGATCTACGGTCCAGCACAACCTGTCTTGATCTCGACGAAGAAGCCCTTCATCATCTGGACATCCTGTCAGATGTGCCTTCTACGTTGATTTGCTATTTGCGCAGACTTTAGTCTCAGTTTGTTGATGCTGCCAAACCGTCTATTTCCCCTCCCGTGCGTGTAGCAATGGCTCGCCCATTTCAAGTTCCCTACGAACCGGAGTATGAGACTCTGTAAGTTGCCTACGACGGTATATATTGAGCGCAGCTGACTGATACTGTCCGGACCTACAGTTCATCTCCCAGTACCACTACTCCAGTGGCACCACAAGCCCGCGGCGGAACTCCTATTTCGTTTAAAACCAACGTTAACCGCGCAAAGACCAAGCGTTGGGTCGAGGCGAAGAAATATTCGTACGACGGGAATGACTGGGGTGACGATGAGTACGAGGAATACGAGGATGAGCCGCCACCGATGCCCCAGCCGGCAAGCTTCAGCCAGAGCACCAACGACCTATCCAGAGTAGCTCCTCGGGATCCGTTGAGACCCCCGCTACCCAGCATGGATCGATCACGCTCAATGGACCAGGTGGCAACACTCGGTGTAGGACCTGCTGGAAGTCGCAGTCGGTCGGCGGACCGCAATGCTGTTGAGGGCACTGCGGGCAGTGCTCCCTCGAACAAGTCTCTGCCTTTCGTGCGACCTGCCGACATCTACAAACGCATGCAAGAGAGACGTCAACAATCGCCAGATACCCCTCGGAATGACAGTCCCTCCGGTCTTGGCCGTTCCCACACTGAACCTATCTCTACATCTCAGCCGCCTGCAACCGCGGATCACGAACTTCAACTAGGTCCGGGATCTTATTCGCCGAACGATGTCGGTCACGGCAAGGTTGATGACCCAAGTGCCACTCCAAGAACCGCGCCTGGTGCTGCAAGCCTTGAGCTGCCCGATGTCAGGGGAATCTCTGGCTTCGATGCTGACTTTTTGGCTTCGGATTCAAGCGTGCAGAAAGAGCAGAGTTCTGATTCTCAACAAACCCATCAACTGCAGCACAACCCGTCGCTCGGGTTCCGTTCAGTTGTACACCAAGCATTCGACGTCCCCGATACTCCAAGCACAACTGTTGACAGCGTTGCACGATCCAATAGTGACAGCACGTCGGTCATCAGTCCCATCATTGGTACTCGCGGCCCGAACGAAGAAAAGACTCCGACAATCGTGGAGGAGCCTGGTGAAATCTCCACACCGAAAGATACCAACGATCAGGCCATGGTATTTAAGCCTGGTCATCGTCGAGATCTGAGCCTTCCCAGCCCGGGTAACAGCCCTTCGAGGAAACCGATAATCAGTAACAGCGCCGAGGCAACTCCTCCCTCCGTGCTGGCAGAGATGTCGTCGGAGACGCCTGCAGGCTCCCCGCGAGACAGTTCCTCTTCGTTTCAACAGCCGCTGCCACATAGAGCCTCTGTGCTACTGCCTCAAACTGGTTCCGACAGGGACCTACCAGCGCCCCTCAACTTTGGCGCCAACCCAGCTGCCGATTCCCCCATCAAAAGCCATGAAGAAATTCCAGTGATTATACCTTCAAACAGCGCAGAAACTTCCCCACAGGACACCGAGAGCGATCGGTTGAGAAAGGAGATAATTCGCTCCTTGAGCCGGGAAACCACGCCCTCGGCGGAAACAGAGCAGCAAACCCCTAACAGGCCGCAGACTGCTCGACAAGACACAGAGACTAGTCGGCCAGACAGTCTAATACCCAGTGAATACGAAAAATACTGGAGCGAGCAAGTCGAATCAAGCCCTCAGGATCTAAAACCGCCAGCCCCTGTCTACGGTGCTTCTCAGAATGCCTCGCAGCAGGATCTGTACACCAGTTCGCCTATGAGTGCTCCGGGGCCCACTGCTCCTGCTCAGCCTACTTCAGAACCTAAGTTGAAACGACGGTTCTCGTGGGAATCATCGTCAGAGGAGGAGGTACCTCCAGTGGACTTGCAGGCGGCTTCACCGTCGGCTATCCCGATTCCAGGACAATTCCCTGTGGCCAACGATGCGACCGAGCTAGCGCCAGAGACTGCCCCCAACGAGTCGGAGATGGCAACGGATAGAGGTCGCGAAGCTGACGTTCAACAGACGCCTGAGAAGCCTAAACTCACCCTAGTGACTCCTGCTGCCATGGAAAATGGCAGCGACTCGAATGAAAGCTACCTGCCTGAAGTGGTCAATCGTCAAAGTTTAGAGGAGCGATCCCCATTGCCCGAGCCCAAGATGCCGCCCACGGTTGAGCCGACATTGTTGGGCTTCCGGGACATTATGGGGATACAATCCTCCGATGAGCGAGTGCGAGCTTTCGACCGTACACGGGACCAGTTCGCGACAATCGATACTGGTTTGAAGAATTGGTTACAGGTGGTGATTCGTGCCCATCCGGAGCACATGGATGTTGTGGAGCAGAGCATGAAGGCCGCCTCTGTCGAGCCTAAAGCGGTCGTATCCAAAGGGAAATTCCCGAAGCTGTCGTCTCTTGGACACTTCACCTCATCGAACCAAGATGGCCCTCCGTCTGGACCGGGCCACGCACGGCGCCCATCTGCGCCGCTTGGTTCGATCATGAATAAACAACAGGTTGAGCAACGCGGAAAGGACCTGTTACATACAGCGGGAGCCCTGGGCGGCCGAGCAGGCGAGGCTGCCAAGGGTCTCTTCGCCAAGGGCAGAAACAAGCTGAAAAGAGGAGAGTCAGAAAAGGTAGATGCTTAATTTCTTGGTTTCGGTTTGGTGGTCATGCATTTATTTACTCATGCATTTATTTATAAGCACGTGAGAGCGGAGGTTGTGGTCTATATATGATGCTCCCTCGCTGCATTCGTCTTCTTTCTCTCTGGTCCTGTCTTGCTTATTCTATTCTTTGATACCATGGTGTAATGAACATTTGCAGTCCAAGTCAGAATGGACATGATTAATGCTTTCGCAACTATCGTCAAATCTATCGCCGATGATTTGTCTGTCACCTCTAATTGCGTGTTGATCAGTAGGGATTCCACCGCGTGCGCGGTTATCGCAGAGAAGTCCAGCTTTCAGACTTTCAATCTGCCATAGACCAGTACGAGGCTGAGAGTATGGCTCTCAAGCGGAATACTGTGCAATTTGCGAGTTTACCCATCATCAGACGGACAGGAGCCTTGACCGAGTCGAGCCAACTGCGCTGGGATGTAGAGCCACAGCATGCAGCGGCAAGTGAAAGTAGACGACGAAGTGCTGATGATATCAATATAGCAATTTTACATCGCCAAATGAATACACAGGGACGTATACTTAGAAAGCCATTGCCCAGTGAGATTATACGACGCTCGCATTCCAAGGCGCTGTCGAGCTCTTTTGCGTCAAAAGCTCAACTACCAAGCATTTTGAGAAGAAAAACAGTGTCGACGATGACGAAGATATATCGAAAGCCACTAAAAACCGACGATAAGCGCCGATTCCCTGTCGATGCAACCGTAGCGACAGGCTATTGCGTGGACTCAAACTGTGGGAAAGAGGCTGGCCTTACACAAGCAAACGCCAAGCCACAGGAACGAGGTGAATTGTTGACGGCTCCATACCAGAATGCTGCATTTTATTCTGGCCTCGGCGACAAGATCACCAATAAAAATGCGATTGACGATGGAAAGATGAGTCCTGGTAGTGCAGAAGACGCAGAAGCACCGCCACCTACGGGCGCTCATTTTTTAGACCGTGTCTGGCGGGGCTTAGAGCAATCCCCTGTCGACCTTGCAACTAGTACAAGGCTCTCTGTTCCACCTCCTCTTCGTCGCATAAGCGTTCCCTCCATCTCCACCCCGGGCACACTGGAGGCGTATTCAGGCCTGCAGCCATCATCCAGGCTGGGACTGGGTGAGTTGACTTTGAGTTTGACTTTTCTCTTATATCTTTATTCACGATGTCCCTATAATGACCTTGCGATGAGCACTTACTCCGAATACGAGCTGACCGAGTCCCCAGCACGGCCGTCCCAATCTGCAAGTGCAAGAGCAGAGATTAGTCTTAATCTTATTGGCGTCGGTCAACCCGGAAATCTTAATCCCAGCGACATGCTGAGTCCCGCGAATCAGACGCCTGTTCCTAGTGTTGCTGGCACGGCTACCACTCCGAGTCCTGGCCTCAGCCGTTGGCATGCTCGGAAGAGCCGCGATGAGGCTGAAATTTTCACTCATTCCAGAGGGGTCAGCCGTTCGTCTGCGAACCCTGCTTTTTCTTATGAATCCGGCTCTGTCGCTGGCTCAAGCAGCCCGCCGACAGGTTCAAATGCGCAGATCTCGCAGGATGACCTCTTTGACGCTGACCTGGCTGCAAGAGAATCACCTCCGCGGAAGCTAGCATCTCCCAAGATCAAACCGCCCATGGAGAAGTTTAGATTGTTCAGACGGAATCGCGGTCCATCGTTCTCTGATGAGCCATCGCCCAAAACTGACCGGTCGCGTCGCGGAGCTTTTGATAGGCTGGGTGTAAGTTGGGTCCGTGTTCGTCGGTTGACTGTATCAAGCTGATATCTCAACTAGGCATGGTTTAGTCGTTCTCAACAGCAACAGCAGCAGCAGCAGCAGCAGCAAAATACGACTCAGGCGCATGGACGTGCTCCCGAGTCGTCTGTTGCGCAGACAATGGAATGGCTTCGTCCGGTGTCGTCGCATCCAGCACCAGGACATACACGCTTCTACTCAGACGACCGGACTGGTCGTGGTCGGCGCCGGTCAAACGTGGAGAGTCAGACATCGTTCGAGGGACAGCATCCACCGCCAGAGGGATACTTTGCGCCCGAGTCCTTCTCTCGCTTCCGCCGCTCGCCCCGGGCCTCCAAGAGCAGCCAGCAATTAGCATCTGCAGCACCAGCATCTCTATCCCACCAACCTGACAGCCGGCTCGCTCCGCCAGACAGACTGCCGTCACCCGCTGGCTCCTTTTCATACAGCGGCAGGGCCTCCCCACAATCACCACCACCACCTGCTCCTCCACCACACCTTCACCTCCATCACCAGCAACAGATGACAGTACCACCGAGCCCCCATCATCCCCAACTCTCTCCACAGCTCTCTCCCCAATTCTCTCCACCACCGCATCTCGCCTCCCCGATCCCCCAAGCTATCCCCCGCACCCCGCCCTCCCGCGGCCGCAGCGTCGACCGCGCCTACACGCAAGACCTCCACATCCGCTCCCGCAGCCCTAAGACCTTCCCCCCACGCCCGGAAGAACGCAGCTACCCCAGCACCGACACCTCCGACCCAGCCAACAACCTAGGAACCTTCCGCAGCAACCCGCGCACCAGCCGCATCGGCGACCAGGAACTGCCCTGGAAACTCACGCTGCCGAGCGACTCGGACGAGGAACGCGCCGCCGCCGCCGGCACGACCGCCACCGCGCGCGAGGGGGAGGAAAGTTGGCTGGAGAGTACCACGCAGCGGCTCCTGCAGTCGTCGCGGCTGCCGACCTACGAGGAGGACTCGGAGGTGCACGGGCAGCCGCATCGGCCTGTTGTTGCGGATGAGAAGGCTGCAGGTGATCAAACTGGGGGCCAAAGTCGCGAGCAAGGGCAAGGTCCAGGGCAAGGGCAAGGGCAAGTGCAGAGCCAGCGCCATCCGCACCGCGGCGAGGCGAGGGCGATCAATCCCGACGATGCACCGGTGGAATTGCCTGTGCAGTGGGATGACGACTCGGGCGAGGAGATCACCATGTCGAGTACAGCGTATCCGGGGCAGGAGTGGAAGCCGTTGGGGTTCTCGGGGTGGGAGTACTAGATAGATACCCTTTTTGTGCTTATGAGTGATGACGATGATTATGGATCAGATTTGGCGGGAGTTTTATGGTCGGTATGGTATGATATATGATTCGGATTTCTTGGTACGGCGCATTTGTCTACAAGTGGGGTAAAAAGAAAATGAGACTTCAAACTCTATCATGTATGTCCATGTTCATCTAATCGTATAGTACAACCGAACGGAGGGGAGAGGATTCTCATGACAGAAATCTAGCCCTCGAAAATGCTCTGGTTCAAATCCACCCCCATATCCTTGGCCATATCCTTCATCTGCTTCTCGATATCATCCTCCATGCCGCCGCCCAGATGCAGGAACTGCCGCACCTTGGTAAAGTAGAAGAAGAGATCGCTGCTGAAGAGCACGACGCGGAAGAGGAGATGCCGGCCGAGGTTCGCGAATTTCTCGGACCAGGGCAGATCGGGCGACTCGACGAGTGCGCGGGACGCCCACATGCCCGTGATCTTGACGCGGTTGACCGGCGAGCCGAGGAATTGGTTGTTGCCCTGGACGATGCGCAGGTTGCGGCCGATGAAGATGAGTTCCTGCGGCCATTTGTGCTCGTCGGCGAGGATCTCGCGGATGGCCTTGCGGGCGGCCTGTTGCATCTCGTAGTGGCGCTGGGCGCGCTCGACCTTGCTGAGCCCCTCCAGGTGCTGGCGCGTGGAGAGGTCGCCGCCGCGGTAGGGCCGCATCATCGTGAAGGAGGCGAACATGTCCGAGTTGCGGATGCCCCAGCCCTCGGCGATCTCGCTGAGGGTGCGGTTGTCGAAGGCCAGCAGGGCCTTCCAGAAGCGCGCGTACTGGTGGCGGAAGTTGGGGTCCATGTGGATGTAGAGGCCGTGGTCGATGAGGACCAGCTCCGCCTGGCCCGAGGGCTTGCGCCGGATGAAGATGTTGCCTGGATGTGGATCGCAGTGTACCCAGCCCCAAAGGAACATCTGGGCGGAGAAGAGGTCGACCATGGTCGTCATCACGTCCTTCAGCGACAGACCTAGGCCGCCTTTGCCGTTCCAGCCGCGCCAGTGATTGCGCTCCGGCTTGATCTTGGCCAGATTGGGGTTCCTCGCGACCTTGGCCACCGGATCTTCGGTCTGGGGAGCATCTAATGGCGTGCCCTGGCATCCGGGGGTGCCTTCGCGCCAACCGCCGAGCCACGGGCGCGTGATGGACTCTCTGTCCCATAACCGGATTCCTTCGATCCACTCAGCGGTCATGACCCGCTTCGAGCTGAGCTCGCGGTAGACTTTGGGAATGTAGACTCGGCCTCGCAGACGCGACTCGCCGGCCACCAGCTTAGCCATGGTTTCCGAATTGGTCGCCTCATTCTCAAAGTCCGTCTCCAGGAACAGTCGCTCGCTTATGTATGGTACCAAACTGTAGAAGGGGATATCGAACGTGCGGGAATAGACCCAAGTAACCACTCTGGTCTCGTCAGCATCCGTCCAGAAGGACAAAGTGATGAACTTACTTGAAAGCCCACAGATCCCATTTGATCTGCTGAGCAATCTCCCTTTTCTGAACCTTGATGGCAATCTCTCGCCCATCTGCTAATCGTGCCCAGTGGACCTGCGCGACACTCGCGCTCGCCCGAGCCTTGCGCTCCAACACGCCCTTAGTCGGATCCCCTGTGAAAGACACTCCAAAAACCTCCTCAGCCGACTTCCCAAAGTCCTCCCGGATCACCTTCTCCACGTCCTTCCAGTCATTCTGCGGCGCATCGTCAAACATCCGGGCAAACATCTTCTGAAACTCCGGAGGCAATATGGCAGACTGCATGGCAATCGCCTGCCCGATTTTCAGATACAGGCCGCCATTATGCCGGAGCAGATCAAACAGTCGTTCCGCGTTGCGGGCGTGCAGGGCTGTGATGGATTCAGCGAACGGCGGGTTCGGACGGAAGTTGATTTTGTAGTCTAATGCGACGAGGAGACCGAGAGAGAACGTCCGAGCCGTCCGCGTCAGTGACGATGCGTAGAACTGAGTGTCGATGGCGTAGATCACTCCGGTGGCTATGGAGAGGTAGGCGAGACGGCGGAGCCATTTGCGAGTGCGGGTGTAGGTTTTTGCGGGGATGGGTTTGCCTAATGAATTCGGAGAAGGGGGCACAAATGGTTTGAATTCTCCTGGATGGACGAAACGACGAGGAGGCTGTAGTAAGGTCGCAGGTAAGCGTGGATGGCCACGAGGCACGATGGGGTTCGACCGCATCAAGCGGGAAACGCACGTCATTCGCGACGCCATTCGGATGGACACAGAGGACAGCGACATCAAGACGTCCAGTATCTCATGGTGCGTTGATGGAGGACATCAACGGGGGTCTTGAAGAGATGGAAGTCTGTAGGCAACAGTCACTTCCATCGTGGTAAGAAGATGAAAAAATACGCTCAGTCGACCAATGCTGACAGCGCTGACATGACAGCAGTCAGGAACATTTCCTGGCGGTCAGCCGTGGCTTTCGTCATCAGAGACTCATTCAGCTCTTCCTTTAGATAGAATCCCACAACTTCAGTCATTATTATCATTACAGGTGTACGTAGAATTAAAAGGACCCTGAGACTATAATTCATCATTGTCATAACTCGCCTCCTCCAATTGCCCCTGTACTCTCTCCGCATTCCCAGTATTTTCCAAATCCCGACAAACAGCCGCGTACTCTCTCATATTATTCGGAATCGTTTCTTCCCACAACTGATCATCCTTGAGATATGCGTACTGCTCCTGACACAGCGCTTCCGACACCATGGGCAACAGCGCCGGTAGGTTCGTAATAGCCGACCGCACAAAGGTCTTCTTGAAGCAATTCCCAAACGCCGCAAGTGTCTCCGGGTCCGAGCAGATATGTTTGCCCTCCAGCATCGGACCGCACCGCTGTTTGATGACCTTCGCTGCATCATCGCCCAATCGCACCATCGCTTCCTCCTGTCGGGGTACATCCAACCGCTTCATCACGCTACGGACGGCCGGCAGGAAGGTGTTGTTGCGCGTCCACAGGTCCCAGTGTGGGACGGTCGGCTGGCACCCCTTGTCGCAGATCTCACGCTGAAATTTCTCGTACAGATCGCCTGGTCGGCTGACGAGTGCGGCGACGACTTTGAAGCATGTTGGCGCGAGTTTCGCGGTTGCGGTGGATGCGCTGAGCAGGAGGAGGAGTACGGGAAGGAGGAGGAAGCGCATTGTAGGTAGGTTCATCCACTGCAGTGGACAAGATCAGGTTGAATGAACTGGAAGAAATCAGAAAGGAAGATGAATGATGGGAGTTATCGACTTGCCAGTAACCGTGGTCATGTTGAATGAATCTTGCTTGAGCCTTGAGCCAAAGATTGGAGATTGATCGTCGCTACGGATTTCCCCGCAGTTTGGGGTTCCATCAACACCTACCGAGGTGCTGTTACGAATTGAAGCTTTTCAGCCAAAGATAATCCATCTTTAGAATATCCAAGCCACTTCATGGGGCTCTTGCTTATCAGAGTATCTGAATCCTCACTGAGCTTCCGAGGTCTGCAGCATTTCTTCCGTGAGCAGTCTACTGGATGTCAATCAGGCTCACGAAACAAGGCACTGAGGTCACCTCTGTGTCCATGCGCGCTGTCCCTTTACTAAATTGCAGAGATTGTGGTATGGCAATTGGTTTTCTTCCTCTCCAGAAGTATGTCAAGCAAGCAGAACCTATAAATCTCGGGAAATGCTGACTCCATAAAGCAGAATACTCTCCCCTTTTTCTGAGACTCCGGAACTCCTTGAAACATGTGGAGAGAACGGCATTGCTACCGAGTTTATGGTAGGTTCAACAGAGACCTTGCGTTCTGACTCCTGCTCTTGCTCGCCAGCTGCAGACTGTGTTGATGGGTCCGGTGTTGGTGGCCTCCTCGGTGTCTTCAGCTTCAGCACTTGTCCAAATAAAGCCCTGGTCCGCTCATCATGATAGACGGCCACATGCTCAGCACGATGCTGAAGACGTCAGGGTAAAAAACGCATCAGCGACTTTTCCTGGTTATTCCTGTAGGCCTACGAGCATCAAGGTCAAGAAGCGGGTACTGTCTATGACCATTCGATGCATGTAATCCAGGAGGAGGCTAGATAGATTGCGAAGAGAGTTGAGGATATAGGATGTTAAATTGACCTCTTGAATCTATGTTGGCTGGAGTATGGTGGAATTGTAGGGATTTTGTAGGTGGGTCATAAGCCGACCTCAGTATGAGGTAATAAGCACAAATATATATCTCTAGAGGTGCACCGAACAAGTATTTACATCGAACATTTGCCATTGAATTACAAGTAAATAAGCAAAGAACGTCCCTTCCCAAATACCAAGTAGTCTAGAGCGACATTATCAACAAAGCCGCACCTCGAGGCTTAACCCTTCACCTGCTGCAGCCTGCGCCTGCATGTCCCCTCTATCTTTACCCCTCCACGCAACAAGATCTTCCCCATCGACATATCGTCCAATATAAGCAAGATGCCCAGCTCTAACCTCGTAGAAATTGACTCTCTCGAAGCACTCGTCATCATCGACAATGAGCTCGACCCCTTGTCGCCCGCCGCGCCAGACACAGTCCACGTCTCCGGCCTCATGGGTAGCCTTGCCACGGGGTCTCCTCATGACCTCAAGGACAGGGGTGATGCTCAGAAGGAGCTTAGAATGGAAGACATCTGCTGTTCCGCGCACGGCTTGTCAATATTGGTGGTAAGTTGGCTGTCGCTAACATGCAAAGTTCCAGAGCGACGCTGATGCTTCGCAGACCGCGACGAAGGGTGACGTGAGCCACTCAGTGCTCTTCGATGCAGGCCCGGAGGAAGATGCTTGGGAGAGGAACGCGAAGCGGCTACGGGCGGATCTTGCCTCGGTAGAGGTTATCCAGTTGTCGCATTGGCATAGGGATCATTCGGGTTTGTTCGAAGGCAGTTGCGGCTCGTTGGATGGCAGTTGACGATGCTCAGGTGGTCTTTTGCGCGCCATTCGCTTGATCAGTGAAGCAAAGCAGGGCAAGGGTCTCGCCGGAGGTTTGTCGGTAGATTTGCACCCTTCGCGCCCTGACTATCGAGGAATGGCTATCGGTCAGAAGCTCATATCGCTCCAAGCTGATCCCACATTCGAGGAGATCGAGGCAGCTGGAGCTGTGATCGACAAACATGGTGAGGCGCATAATATTCTCGATGATTTCTTTTTCGTATCAGGCGAAATACCCCGGCAAACTGCCTACGAGAACGGGCTGAAAGGAGGGATGCGCTTCAGCCACGAGGACAACGATTGGTTCTCCGACGAGCTCATTGCTGACGAACGGTTCCTGATGTGTAATCTGAAAGGCATGTTGGTCATGTACAAGCGTGCTTCATTCATCTATTGTACAGTCGATGCTGACCGCACCAGGGAAAGGAATCGTCATGTTCACGGGCTGCAGCCATGCTGGAGTGGTCAACGCTGCCAAGCATGCAGTTGAATGCATGGATAGTTCTGTTCCTCTTCATGCGGTTGTGGGAGGCTTCCATCTGGCGACTAGTGAGGAGCAGCAGACGGAGAGCACGATCAAAGACCTGAAGAAGCTTGATCCGGCTGTGCTTCTGCCTGGTCACTGTACAGGTTGGCGGGCCAAATTCGCCATCGAGAGGCTTATGCCTGGGACTCTGGTGCCTTGTACAGTGGGCATCAAGGTCACATTCTAATCAGGTGGAAGCATATCCATTGGATGGCGATGGCCGTCATGAACTTCTGCTATGAGGCAGACATGTATCAGCTGGCATTCAACGCAGTCAGCGGATCTTCTCTATCCCTGAGGCTGACAAGCGAGGGCTTCGAAACTGTACGAGCAAGAGCAACTGCTTCTAGGATTCTTTGGCCTAGTGACAACTCAATCTACACGACTGCAATGCGTAACCACAGACTGTCGCGTCTGAGGATATTAAAAGCTGAGTCCTCACTGTTGAAGTTGCTTCCTGACAGGGTCTGTCTGCTATTATCATCAGAATATATTAAGACATGCATACTATAGTCATTGAGCAGTGACAGTGTCTATGACTTATGCCGATAGAAGGGTTAATATATATTTCTGTCCATCTAATCCATAAAGAAGATATCTCCTCTGAACGGGGAGCAATGTATAACTGCTAATAGGAAATTAGGGATCTAGTATTGCATAATGGACACTTAAGATATATACATCGCTCCATATATACCTTGAGTATTGCAAGCCAATGTAAGTAGCTAATATATCATCACTATACATTTCTCTTGGATATACAACCCATACATACTACCCGTATACAGTATGATATCCTATTAGATGCCTCATAACATAGCGACTATAACAACTTCTATGAACTCAGAGAGCTCCATGGTCAAGCAAGCCCACACTACAGTAGCATAACACTTGCATAGAGCATACAACACATCCTACTCTGGAGTCTGATCAATCTTACTATGAGTACATTCATTTCCACTCTCTAACTATATTTTCACCTTGCATACCTCTCACCACCGCCAAGATCCCTTCCAAGACAAGCATTACACAGAGTGGGAGAGAATGCCAACTGACAAGCCAACAACGATCTGCAGTCTACACTGTGTAACTCCTCGATCATAACAAGTCAACTCTCCGAATTCACCCGCAGTGTCAACCTCACTATCAAACATAGCAACTCGAGTGTCGCCCGTCCGCCCCCGTGCCAAGAGGATTGTCATACGTATCTTGTCAATCTGCACCACACCTGCCTCCTCAATCATATCTATTTATGGGGTAGACCGGTAATCATGCTTCGCTGGCTCGGGGAAGATCCGCATACGCCAGGTAAACAGATCATCAAGGGAGCGCGCCAAGACTCCAACGCAGCACAGCAGCGTATGCGCGAAAATGAAATGAACCGATACGGTGGCCCCCGTGATACCTCGCCAGACACGCAGACAGGTCTGATTGCCCCAAGGGGGAAATGGAGGGCTTGCCAAGACGATCGAAGAAGGGAGGGAATGCAGTGCAAGGCTTGGCGGGGGATAAATGGAAGGGATATGGTTGGTTGGGGGGCTATAGGTTACAGGATAAGGATACTTTTCTGGGAGTGAGACAACATGCTGTATGTATGCAGGATGTGCGCATATCGCTGGACAGAGTTAAGGAGGCAGTGCTAGTGTTGTTCTGATGGCGACTGGCTGCCAAGAGGTGGGATCGTTCTGTGCTTCTGCATGGCACTGTCTGTCCTCATGATTTGAGTTTGCGAGGAAAGGACCAAAAATGAGGAGTAAGTTTCGAAGTGGTATCACGATTCACTAGATGGACGGCTGAGACTATCTACTCCATACCCCATATATCATTAGTATCTGCTACTCCGTATGGGGATGAAGAGTGAGATGCCAAGCATGTTCCTTGCTGCAGGCTGCACATCAGGGGGATTCGGTATGCTTGGCCGAAGTAAAACTATTGGCTTGGTCGATGATCTGTTGATCGTGTCTCGATTTTCGGCTTCTTGAATCATAGTCGATTCAACAGATGATACTGATACCTGTCACGTCTTGCGATGGTATGATGATCTCGCGGATTCGAGGACATATTGAGTCAGGCACCGGAGAACAGAATGTCAAATACAGCTCAAGTGACATCATGAAGTACGGCTCATTTGAAACGAGGCTGACTGAGCTGTGAGTCTGAGACTCTCTGGTGATGATTTAAGATGATCTGCATCTAAGATCGAATCATGCGAGCCCGTCTCCCGGTATCGTTTTCAGGGGCTTCTTGGCCTTTTGCGATGCAGGCACTGCCATCACGCACTGTCAAACAGTCGTTGTTTGGATAGATCCTGCCTGCCGAGTACTGCAGTTGATGTATAGTATGGTTATTTTTGGCCCATGTCAGCCACCATCAGCAATCTATAGATAGAATGATGGATGCAGCGTTGGCGGCGAGATGAAGCGGTCACAGTACTCCCTATCAGAGGGCTCTACACTGTAAATCTGCCGCAAATTACTCCATCCTCTTACATCATATCAAAGCATGATAACACTGTTGCAGCTGCAAGTCAGCATCGGACAATTATCGTTTCGAAGGTATAGCGATCGACACCCGCAAGGCAATAGTCAATGCGCCCATGTCAGACGCACCTGTCGATCACCTTTTTTGGGAAGCTGTAAACAGACGGCCAGGAATACCTCCTTTGTCATCTTGTCATCCGAGGCATTGTTTGGTGACTGTTGCAGCTGCCTCAGTTTCATGTTCTAGGCCTCGGCATTCAGGCTTTAGGTTTATCTTTGAATGTAATGAGCATGTTAGACGTAAGGGGACACGAAGTGCATCATCAAACATCTAGCATCACATAATCCCTAGCTGAGGAATGCTGATGACTAACAATGCCAATTTATGCAGGTTTCTTGAGCACAATCCAGCTTGTTTATTCTACGGTACAGAGTACTTCCCAGTACGGATCAGGTAGCACGTAGTATGGCCATATCCCGCTTGTGCCCGTGACCGACAACTGTGTCTGGTAGGGCCACAAAAGACCCTCAGTAAAAATTCATTCAAAACCCCATTGTCAAATCTCCATAGAATCCAACGGAAGAACGGTTTCGCCTCACTCAGGGATTCAGTTGCGTAGTGCCAAACCAATCATATATCCCGCCGCAATTGGCTTTTCTCGACGTGCCGATTCCCGTGGTGCCGTGTAGGCCGATACCTTCAATTCCTACCGATGTCAGAGTCGCCATGCCGAACTGACATTGGAAAACTCTCGGGCGATATTCTTCACCTTGAGTACTCCGTATTGTTTTGAGGGATGATGATGCCGATTGTCTGTTGATAATTGCCAGTCTTTTTTTTTTTTGCTTTTTGAATCTGTACTTTTTCTTCTGTAACAGCCTCATTCACTCAAGTCCCCCAATTATGTAAGCCTTTAGACCGGTCATCATTTCAAGTCTAATGCGATGGAGCATGTCTCTCTTCTCCATACTCCATACTCCATATCGTTTACGAAGTCTAGTCTACAGACTGAGATACGTGCTTGTCACCGCTAGTGCTTGTGCATAGTGCTTCTACCCCGAGGGGATATCTCCAGAATTCTCCGTAGTCCATAGTCGTAGAGTATCCCGACTCGGACTCGGGGCAGACTGAAGACTTGACAGTCGGATTTCATCCGAGAGCGCATCTACCTTGCCAATCGTCGTGCCAGTGCCAGTTGCCACATTAGCCTTCTGCATCGACACTTCGCGGGTGGACGGCATGCAGTCGAACGTGGCACCGTAGAATCCAAGGCAAACGTGTCTAGCTGGCATTCCGTAGTTGGCGTGGGATTCATCCCGTGTCCTGCACGATGCTGCAGGAGACCTGAGAATGTCAATTGCCTGTCTGGGAGAGGGTGAAGCGAACTGCAGGTGCGGTTTCAGCGCGATTGACTGAGCATGGGGTGCAGTCCACTACTCCGTACTCCGCAGATTTGCCTAATACGAGAACGACGGGACGACTACGGAATGCGGATTATGTACGGAGTAGTATGGCTCAATTCTAGCTGGTATTTGGTAGTTGCCCGTCTTGGGGCCAAGATGAGGATTGTCTTGTCCTCCTTACCGCGTAGTCGTTGCGGTGTTGTTGTGTCGCGGTATGACATACCCTGGGAAAGATGCCGCGCTGATTTACTCCATACTCCATACTATGTGTAATGCAATCAATCACCCAGCCATCTCCCACTCCACGACTGCAGAAAATCCCTCACCAGGATCCTCGATGAGACAGCTTGGCACGCAAACCAGGCCGATCGTCCCGGTGGGGCGCTTCGACATTACCACTACGACAATGGCACTAACCGCTAAAGTGTTAGTCAATGGAATCGCCGACTGATTACTCCGTCCGTACCTGGTTGCAATTTAGCACCGGTGAGTGGGAGAAGCCCACTTGCCGTTTTGGAGGCTAGTAGGGCCAGTCCGACTGGCACTATGGAGCCGACTACTGTAGGTACGAGGACACAGAGCGAAGCCAAGAACACAGGCGCCAAATGAATCAGTCGGTCCAGCTAATTAGTCTCGGTTTTCGCGGGATGAGCGTCGGTTCATCTTATTTATCCTTTGGCTGGGGCCAGTAGCGAGGCGGGGATTTGTCTCCTCTGCGAGGTATTCAGGGTAATTTCCATGCTATTGTCATTTCTTATTTGTCAGAGCTTCGGCGACTGTGTTTGCGCTTGCTCGCAACTTAGTCAATATGCTTTTGGATTACTGGTTAATTGGTTTAATGAGGAGATGATCACAAGTCAATTTCCTTATTTTTAGACAACTATAGATTCGAGATAGCAGTGAACTGAGTATTGACATCTGAAGCTTAGCAAATTGGTCCCCCTGGTCACTTGCCTGAATCGGCAAAATACATCGCCAGCGTAACCCTATCCACACCGAGTCTAACCGAAACGGGAATTTCTTTCCTCGCTCCCATTAACATTACTCCGTGTCCGTATCTACTCTGTAGGTATTTCTAACTCCTCAGTGCTTATCGGTAACTAAGCTTAGCCGCGCACGATCAGAATGACAATTTTGCAATCAAGACGAATCACTCTTGAGTATTCAGTGTTTTGAGTCGGATGCTATAGCCGTCACCGATAGTACTACTGTATCGGTCATCGGCCGCGTCAGGAATAATCACCCGTAAATTGCTTCATATGATTGTCGGTGACTGATAGACACGGGATACTACAGAGCACAGAAACATATGACGTAGAGGTCGTATTGTGTCAATCAAAGCGTGCAAATCTATCGTCAGAAAATGGAGGCGGCGTCGACGTCGGTATCGGTGTCGGTGTTGTGGTGAAATTTGCCGATCAACCGAGCAATGGTACCATACGGAGTACTCCGTACCATGATCTCATCACTGTCATCAGTGGTGAGACTGAGACAACATGATAATCAGATTCGGCTCATCGCTGCAAACTGCACCTCAATTTGCAGGGAAAACTGGAATGCTTCGCTACCGTCGGGTAGTACGGAGTAAGAATTGCTCGATGCGACAATGCAGCTAGGGCAGCAGCTAGGTAAAAGGATGGAGTCAAGGACCCAATGACGACTTGTTACTCGTGGGTGTTCAATTCTGAACCATGGCACCACCCACCCACGGAAGGTTTCTAGAAAACGTCGAGAAAACGCCGGCTGCAGGCGAGCGGATTTCGTTTGCTGCCGCTGCATCCACATCCCAATGCAGGCAGATTCTGTCCTGTCCGTCTTGGGTAGGTAGGCGGACTCTGGGCTGCAGATTGGAATCCTATCAGATACAACCAGCACTCTAGGAAGTGGCAAGATGCCAGCCCCGGTAGCCAGTTGGTGATTGCCCTGCAGGGTGGCATGTGCCTCTGTAACTGGTATGGTAACCTGCACGGTCGGAGTGCCGTACTGGTACTTACGCAGTCAGCGATGCTAACCTAACTGCAAAAGGTCAAGGACGAGGCATTTTCAAGCTGTATGAATACGGCCCCATACATGAACTGGATTATCGCTTAGGCAGACTCCGTAGTTTTCAACAAAGGTAATCTACCATAAATGATCACGCTGATGCAGTCAAAATGTCTATTTGTATTTTGATGATGGGCACGAAGCACAAAGGACAACTGTGCGACCGGGCCGGCATCGGACCCGGCTGCAGATGTGCACATATCACCAGAGTTTTAAGGCGGAAGCAATTACCTAAACCATGGACCTGTCGATATGGTAGTTAGAGATATCAGTATCAGATTCGAGAGTATGGACGCGGGCCTGTACGTTGTGCGGATGAATAAATTAATACCTTGGGTTTCAAGTCTGCCGGTCGAACAACATGAAAGCACTGGAACTCGGCACACGAGTATCAGGGTGCAGGCCAAATTCTTACTCAGATAGCGCCAGGTACGGCATCAGGACTACACGTTATCAAACCGCTCGTTCCACGGCTCATTGTGGAGAGATACTATTCAAGACGCTTCCACGCCGCTTCGAGCCTTTGTAGCTTGCGGTGTTGTCTGGATATCTCCACTTCCAGCTCCATATATTTGCATTGTACCGTCCTATGAGAGAGAACGAGAATCAGCCCTGTACCATTGTTTCGTAAGCCTAGCTACACACTACTCTAGTCTACTACTATGATAATCTGATAGACACCATATTCAATATCAAATATACTAATATGAGGCAACGTCGCTATGACCATGACGACGGTTTCACTTCATGAGCAAAAATAAGATGGCTGGGATGGCTGGCAACCATCCGCCGATGATGGCTCCTGAGTGATCGCCCGACCATTCCCTCCTGTTCTCTTGGCTGACGTGGGTGCATTACTCTGCCGTGCGCGCTCTTACTGTCCTAGGTAAGGAAAGGCCGATAACTGATGAGAATCCCCCGGAAAGTTGATCGAAGGGGGTGCAGTAGCAGGATTAGGTTTGCAGGTCACTGGCGGCTAATTTGTTTGTTTAGGGGGCTGTTGCGCACGGGGCTACCTAATGATGGAGCGTCGACAAGCCTGACTGAGGACGACCATTTTTCGTCTGTTTGCCCTGGATTGTTGGATCATTCTCTGGTGGAAGACTTGGACAGTGAGAATTTTGGCTCCTCACCGCTATCCATGCAGTGACAGGAAAAGAGCTATTGTGACGATTCACTCATCGATGCAATAAACGAATTTCCTGGTTGTTCGGAGCAGAAGTGTCTCATGCAACCCTGACCTCCAGCTAACTAATAATAATCTCACTATTTAATATCGCTCATTGGCCTAACCTCTTCAATCGTAGTCCCGCTGACGAGTCCGAGCTCCTCCGTCCAGAAGCTATTTCGCCTCGACACATCATGATTCATTAATATTGCTTCGTGCCAGCCGCGGAAAGCGCCGGCCAAACCAAACTGGGGTAAGATGTTTCGTCAGAGGCTAGGAACTACGGGATCGCTTTTTCATTTCGGAGTATTGCCGTGTAGATAGTTATTATTGTTGCTCTTGGGTTGTATCTGCTACTGCATGCGGTTGAATCCAGCTAGATACTCCGTAGTCTTGAATATACTTACCTTTTGTAGCGGTCGCCATCCCAAGTAGGCTCACCGTGCGAAATTTGGACCGTCAGAGCAACTACGGAGTAGTAGCGATGAGGGATATCCCCACCGCAATTGACTTTGAGACTGGAGTATGCCAGCCGTGAGCCGTCGAGAGTCAGGTTTCAGGGGTATCCCAGAGTCGGAGGTCGAAGCTGAAGACCTTGAAAAGTTGGGGCTGGGTTTGGGGCAGCGGAAAAGAGAACATGACGAACCATCTAGCCTCATAATCCCCTCGTTTTTCTACAGGGCAAAAAAATAGGTAGCAATCTGAACCAAAGGCTGGTAGGCGAAGAATAAGGAATTATTTTAAGCATAGAAAGGTTATTTTCGTTCGTTGATGACCCATCCCGCACCGTGACCTGGAAATAGGCATCTATATTTTGAACGACAGGAGCCAGTGACAGCTCTCCAGACTCCAGGCTTCTCCAGATTCCTAGAGACTGGAGCCTGGAGACTGGGGAGCATGACCGTGCAGTGCTCATAAAAACTGGGGATACTCAGGTAGATACTTGGCGATATACTGAAATCCAACCACCACCGTCGGCTGAACTGATGCCATCACCTAGGATGAGACAAGCCTTATGCGCGATGAAGCTTGATGAGGTTTGGGCTTCACTACGATCATGGAACTTCCATGTTCGACATCGCCTGGAGCCGTAATGGGAAGCAGAGACAAGATTTACAGGCCAGAACAAAAAGAAAAGTCTCCGAATTACGAGGAAGCAGACGCACGGTGTCAGCCGAAGTCGAAAGTTAGACGAGGAGGTGACGAGATCATGGCAATGGCATATGCATGGAATCCTCCCAGTCAGTGTCAGCCCTGGGAGGCAACTGGGTTGCCGTCGCCGTTCTGACATGAGGTTGAAGATCATAGTCAAAATTTTTTCTTTTTTTTTGTTGCCGTATTTTGACCAACTTACGGTGTAGATACTGCATGGAGAAAATTCGCATTCTGTCGAGTGTTGGCTGGCGTCGAGTTGATACCGTTATGATGACGGCAAACTCGGTACCTCAGCCTAATCGTGGATGGTCGAAATGACCATGAGCGAGCAATCAGATTGAGCACGCTACCGAATAGAGATAGGTAGTTGAGCAAGTAACAGTCCTCCAAGAGCGATATCCGCCACCACCAACATCATCCATCGAGGTTATCTGGCAGGGATCTTTAGCAACCTTGTCTCTAGTCTCCGGCCACGATACGGAAGTGCAAAGTGTCTACATGTGCTCTGCATCCTTTCCAAGAT